AAAAAAAAAAAAAAAAAAAAAAAAAAAAAAAAAAAAAGAGCGTTATGTTTTAGGTTTTGAAACTTGATTAAATAATATGTTTGAAATTTTGAAAATATTTTGTCTAAAAATTTTGTATTTCAAATCACTCATGAGACGCACTCTAACTTTTGATTGGGATGTTCTTTCTTCCGCCTGGCAATGCGGCGCAACGATATCATCACGACATGGATCATCAATTCCGTTTCAAAGGAAATCGCCGCCAGTCTTGTTTACACTACTCTGGTTGTGCCAAAAATATTTGAGATGAATTGAATGATCGATATCGGCAAATCAATGGACCAGACATCTACCAGTTTCAAAGGAAAATTTCTGGAAAGTAAAGGAATATCATTCGAAAACGTAATGCCATACGTGAAACTCGTAGAAAACAATTGACCGGCTGAACTTTGAGGCATTTGTAAGAAGTCGTTTCTACAGAAACATCGCCAAATTGAAGGAAAATTTTCGAGTCTTTGATCCAAGCTTTTGGCAGAAAATCCTTAACTTGACAAGCACTCGATGCCCTCGCATGGCCCCGAAGTTGCAACGCTGCCTCTTTCATCACCGCCATACTTCAAAATGATCTGAACACATGGAGAAACACGTTTTTCTTTCAAATGCCTTAAAATCGACGTTGCTTCTAGATTAATCGACATTTCACGAACGCCTCAAATCAAAAATTACGAATCTCCTTGTTAGATAAGTTAAATTTTGTCATTCAGTCCAGAATGAACTTCTCCAACACAATCGAATCGATCAGTAACAAGCAGGCGATTAAAAGTTCTCGAACGTCAATTACATCATCGTATAAAAACCATTACCTACTGAGGATTTGCAGAAGAAGAATCGTTGGAGCTTCCGCGGCGTAGATCTTGAATCAAATCTCCCAAGTCTTTTCGAGCGGACTCTCTTCCAAACATGAATCCATACCTAAGAAAAATGAAGCAAGACGAACTGAGCTAAGAGATCCAGAGAAGAAATGAGGCATCAAGGTTGAAGAGAGAGAAGTAAAATCGCACCAGAACGAAATCGCAGAGAAGGCTCCAGCGGTCGCAATTGTCTGAATCAGAGTGAAGGATTTCTCCATTTCAATTTCTCAGGAAATTCCTCCACCGATTGACACCGGGAGGGAGAGAAGAAAGAGAGAGGTTCTTTCAATTTTGGGCTTCCACCAGTTTAGGCCCAGATAGAGGTCGATCGGTTTGGACTTTAACCATTTAGGCCCAGAGAAAGTTACGTCAATTGATCTTGGGCTTCGAGTAGTTTAGGCCCAGATAAGCTTGACCGGTTTTGGGCTTTGAATTGTTTAGGCCCAGATATATTCAGGTCGACTCGTCTTAGCTTCTCAACAAAGGCGAATGGAGGTGACTGAATCTCTCGACCTCCTAGGTCGGGAGAACCGTGCGAATGGTTGAATGGATGACTTCGCTTCTATCTCTTCGAAATGCCCTATAGAGACCATTTGAGTTGCCCATAACCTTGGTGCCGGTACCTTCTTTCTCGTTGGAAGAGTGAGTGTCATTAGATCGAGTATACTTGAGGTATCTTTTTTTTAACAGAGGACGGCAACTAACTCGGAGTATTTTCTTCAAAGAAATTGGTAACATTTTTTCTTTGGAAAATTAGTAATTTTAGCATCTAAAAATTTGAATTCCAAACTAAGTATAACTCAACAATAATTGGCATGTATCCTCTCTTAAAATTGAACGCTCAAATTTTATACTTTTAATTTCTTTTTCATTTTTTTTAATTTGCCTGTTCCAATCAACTTTATTATGAAAAAAGAGATTTAAATACAATACATCGGTTTGAAGAATATGTGCCTTCGTAATTTTTTAATTAAAAGATTGGTATTTGTCAATGACTATTTTTTAATTAAAAGATTGGTATTTGACAATGACTTGTCTAGTCAATTTTGGGTTCAAAACCCGAGGTTGTGAAATACTCTTTGTGCCACAAGTGATCTGAATTTGAGTTGATAACTTATACGAGTATTGCATAATCTCTATGAGTCTCAATTAGTGAGATTATGATAGTTGATACCAGAGTCAAGCCAACACCTAGAGTAGAAATCAATAATCATGTTTGTGTCAAGAGCATGCAGAAGAGATAAGCATATATATTAGGAGTAATATAACATCTAGATGATTAACACGAATCCTTAGAACTAAACACTCCCCTCGGACTCTTCTAGTGCTTGCTTCAAGATTTCAACAACTTTCGACATTGTTGGTCGTTCTCTTGCAGTCTTGTTGAGACACTGATCGGCTAAATTCGCAACTTTTCGGGCGGCTGCCAGGTTATACTGGTTTTGAAGTTGAAGATCTATTATTGTCTTGAAACTCTTACTGGTAGGTGGAAACTGTTTGACCCACTCCAGTAGCTTTTGCTCCCTCGTTGGCATGTTTCTTTCGAGAGCCCGCCTGCCCGTGAGGATCTCATACAACACTACTCCAAAACTCCATATGTCACTTTGCATTGTTAGATGTCCTGTCACAACATACTCCGGTGCTGCATATCCATATGTCCCAACAACCTGTAATTGGGCAACCAGCAAAAATCGGCTTTACAAAGCCACCAATTTACACCAATGGTGCTTCTTTTCATAAATCTACCAAGTTTAAGTCCAATGAGTATAAGAAATACATAAGACGGTTAAGTAACTTGACACGAAAAAAGAACGGCCATGTTTCAATTTTCCCAATTCTAGAAAACAAATTAGCAAAATCCCCAAGTTAAAACCTGTGAGATCCCCCATCGATTGGACAGATGAACGAGTACTAACGAAGACGCTGGACTCTGAAAGGGGTGAATTGTGAGATCCCACATCGGTTGGAGAGGGGAACGAAGCCTTCTAAAAACCTCTTCCTAGCAAACGCGTTTAAAAAAAAACTGGACGGAAAGCCCAAAAGGAAAAGCCCAAAGAGGACAATATCTGCTAGTAATGGACTTGAGCTGTTACGAAGGGTATCAGAGCCAGACACCGAACGGTGTGCCAGCGAGGACGCTGAGCCCTGGAGGAGGGTGGACATTGGGTGGTGTGCTAGTGAGAACACTGAGCCCCGAAGGGAGTGGACACCGGGTGGTGTGCCAGCAAGGGTGTTGGGCCCCAATGGGGGTGAATTGTGAGATCCCACATCGATTGGAGAGAGGAACAAGTGCTGCGAAAATGCTAGGTCCCGAAGGAGGGTGGATTGTGAGATCCCACATCAATTGGGAGGAGAACGAAGCATTTTTTATAAGGGTGTGGAAACCTCTCCCAAACATCCGCATTTTAAAAGAACCTTGAGGAGAAGTCCGAAAAGGAAAGCCCGAAGAGGACAATATTTGTGGGCTTGGGCAGTTCCAAAACTACATTGAGAGATACACCCATTTTCATATCATACACTATCTAGTTCTATAGAATAATACTATTCTAAACTTCTGTTAGAGATGTGAAATAGGGGTTTCATTTTTAAATATGAAAACTGAAAGCTGGCCACATACACATACTGCAGCAAGCTTAGAAAAATGGCTTTTCTAGAAGGCTAACATGAACTCAATAAGTCGTGAACTTACTGCA